CATATCTATTATGTTAATGTATGATTTTGTAGTATATTAGCAAAATAATCATTTCATTTCATAAAATTCATTCACTGTACAACCAGACCGCTTTTTATATGGAGAACTACTACGAAGCTTACTCAATGCCAACTAGTCAAATTCAATACTTTTTTCGAACTGTCAAAAACTAGAGATTTCTATGAATTTTGTACGAGATTGTGAATTGTAAACTTATTTCTTAAAAAATTGCTGGACAAACACTAAAATGAAATCGGTCATAAAATCAATCAATAAAAGTGTGATTATTTTTTATTGTAATGAACAGTCGAAATAATTTATTTTTGATGAAGACAAGTACCTAATTAAATATTCTAACTACTGACCTGTGTAGACGAGCCTTGTATCTTGATCAAATGAGTGCTCATCGCCAGCAGTTGATTCTCGACATGTTCCGTCATACCATCGGACGCGAGTCTACGGAACAAGTTCCTGAGCTGCTGACCCATCTCTGAGTACTGAGGCACTGTGCCTTGTTTCACCTGCGAAATGATGAATAATAATGTAATTGAACAAAATCAGGAATAAATGAAGGTTTTTATATAAATAGGTTCACCATCATCATAAACAGCCTACAAATGCCCACAGCTGAGCAAAGCCTCTTCTCACACGGAGAAGGTTTGAGCATTCATCACCACGCTTGCTCAATGCGGATTGGCTATTACAAACTTATAATTATAAATTATATGCTCAGGTTTCCTCACGATGTTTTCCTTCACCGTTTGTCAGTGGTGTCTGAATAATCTTAAAAAGTACATATAACTCGCAAGTCACAAGTCACAACGGGCGTCTTAAGCCTCCGAACCACTACGACAAAACAGGGATAAATAGGTTCATAAACATATTTTATTTTCGTTTTAACACCATGACTACGCTATCCTACTCTAGGATTTTCTCCTTTTAACACATAGGATGCCGTGTCGGACAATAATGTCCGACGCTTTTTTTTTAAGGGGGGAAATTCATCGAATGACTGCTCCCGCCTGTGTGAGGCGGGAGGGAGTGTCAGACTCTTACTGACTAAAAACCACCCCGTTCCTACTCCTGCACGTCGAGCCGGAGCCCCGGTTACCCGTTAGGTTCTCCGCGACTCCGAATCGGCAACAGGCCGTCTCCGACGCTAGCGAAGGATCAGCCTTTAATATAGTTTTTGTTGCAGTTAAATACTTAACAAACACAAAAATGTACAAACACATCACAAAAGTAAAACAATTTGTGCTTCATGCAAGTAGTTGCGCAACTGCGCTAATTATGCAATCTAGTCTAGCGCAAATATAATTTTATGCACTCATAATATAACATCACGCCTTTTTATCCTGTAGGAAGGGGTGCACGCACATTACGACACTTAATGCCACTGTACAATGTAACACCCACTTTTCACTATTTATGTTGAGTCCACTGTAATAGGGGGTGAGCCCATTGCCATACACCGAGCACAATTCCAGACTCCGTGCTACAATTGAGATTTTTTTTAAAACCCAGTAATACTTTGCCCGACCCGGGAATCGTACCCGAGACCCCTTGAACGGCAGTCGTATACGCGACCACTCGGTCAACGATGCACATGATAGATTCTTATAATTGTATATTATACTAGAATTATCTCTATAGATATAAAGGATATAGATTTTGAAATATCGTTATAATTACCTTGAGCCGAGTATTTCTCCTCTCGCGTAGAGTCTGCACGAGTCGGTCCACGTCTCCGTGCCGTAGTACTGCGTCCAGCACCTTGCGTGGGATCGGCTCAGACAGACTCTCCAACAAGAGTTCCGGCCTCTCCACCTACGATAAATTAAATTATTTTAGTAAACTGCTGTTTTAAATCCCTTTTCTAAATACATACATACATTGATGATGTTTATTGTATGTATATTGATGATCAAAGTCTAAGTCAAAATAATTTATTTCACTTTTGAACGTCAACAAAAACTTAAAGTGAAGCTATTTGCTTATTCCAAGGTGTAGATTCCTATGGAGAAGAACGAGCAAGAAACTCCACATTGAAATTTAAAAAAAAAAATTGATAAGTCGATAATCATTTCATTGGTCACAAGACGACTGACCAATAAACAGGCAGTCATTTGTCGACCCATTTGATTTTTATAACAATAAAAAAAAATAGTTAAAACATGTTACGAAACTGTTCGAGGATGACCAATTAGTTTCAAGCCATACCGGAGCTCACATTCATAAACTATGCGCAACTAAGTCCATATTATTAAGAACATCGAAAACTTCAACAATACTTATTCTCACATTGGAATCTAAGAACTTGCTTAAAAAGTATTGCAATCATTTTTTCGACAATTTGACCGTTATTTTTGAAGTAACCGTAGTATTTAGTAGGTATGTTACGAAATATAGATTACCTGTATAAGTTTGTGTTTGAGATGTGGCCAGACGAGTGGCAGTATCTTGCAGTGCACGTCGATCGGGTTCATTAGACTCGCCACACACGATACTAGACCACATACTTCTTGCCGGATCTACGGAGATGGTGTGATTAATATTATATTAGTATAAAAATTGAGGTATTTTAGACTGACTTGAGATTCTGAAAGAGATTGTGGACTATTTTGAGAAGATTTTTTTAAGGAGAGAAAATCATCGAGTGAATTTTCCCGCCTGGGTGAGGCGTGAGGGAGTGTCAGACTCTTACTGACTAAAAACCACCCCGTTCCTTCTCCTGCACTTCAAGCCGGAGCCCCGGGAACCCGTTAAGTCCTCAGCGGCTCCGTATCGCCATCAGCCCTATTGGGCCCGTGATTTTGAGAGGATCTAGATTAAAAATTAGGAGAATTTATCTCAATATCAATAACTATGAATGTACTGACCCATAAGTTAGGGTGTGCAAGGAACACGGCGCTCTCCGCGACGAGGTCACACAGCGTCTGTTTGTTGAGCAGGCCCAGCTCCGACAGGCTGGTCGTGGCGCGGACTGCCTTCGAGATTATCCACTCCGACTGGTCCGTCAGGCCCTGGGTACAATGTAATGATGTTTAGATCAGGGTTGTCCAAACAAGTTTCCTGTGGCCCGCGACACACATTTTAATCTTAACATCTACATCTTATGTGCAACAATAATAAAATTCAGTGCATTATTTGTATACAAGTTCTGTCTGTGAGTAAAGAATACAACGTTGAACGTCATTATACAACTGAAAATATTTTTCTGGCTCTTTAGCTTTTGTAAGAAATTTAATTAGCCCGCGAGAGTATATAGTTTGGACAGCCCTGCAGCTGTAGCCAAATGCCATTTAGCGCTTGTCTACATGTAGAATAGAAAACCAAATTATATGGAATTGACGTAAATTTTGACATTTGTCAGTGTCATCCCCATACATTTTGATTTCTACTCTCTCTGTAGACAAGCGCTAAAGTGGCGTTTGGCTAAAGACACTGGTTTAGATAATACTAGCTGCTGTTACGCTGTCAGCGGCTTCGCCCGCGTGGGATAAACGTAGCGTCTCTGTTTTTCCAGACCAAAATGTACTCGTAGTAAATTTCATTCCAAGCCGTTCAGCCGTTTTGACGTGATTGAGTAACAAATATACACACAAACTCACAAAGTTTAGCATTTATATTATTATTATTATTACATATAGTAAAATCGTAGAATAGTCAAAACTGTACATTGAATACGCGAGGACGCCATTCTGTTACCGCATCGTCGCGTGCGCTTGGGGTACATGATGTCAATGTCAGATTGTCAAAGCAAAGTCCACGATGTCAAATTCATAGATTCAGTGATCCTTGAAATATCTGTGTTATGTATGATAACAATGTTTCTATTACGTCTTATTTTTATTATATTCTATTTAGTAGTTATCTATTTATTTATATGATATCTAGGCAACAGGCTAGTGCTGAAAATCAGCGCCGCGACTCGAGCAATCGCGCTCGTGACACGGCATTTTAGCTGAGCACTGGCCTTTTTGCACCGTGTACACTGTTGTTTTTTTTTATTACAATTTTTTTGTCCTTTCTGTAATGGTGCAAATAAACTGTTTTTCTTTCTTCTTTCTTTCTTTCAATATTTTTTTTAAAGAATACTTGTAACGTGATCTACAATCGATACTGAATCCAAAAATATAGTTTTTAGAATTTTTGTCTGTTTGTCTGCATGTATGTTCGGGATGATCTCAATAAGTACTGCATGGATGGAAGCCCGGTAATGCTCTTGTAACGCGTCTGGTGTTCCAGGTGTCCATGGGCGACGCCGATTGCTTACCATCAGTTGATCCGTCTACTCGTTTGGCTTATCCCATAAAAATGTATAGTATTATAATAATACCTGTTGCAATAGCGGCACGAGTATGGGCGCGGCATGGTGTCCTACGTATGCGGCGACTCCTACAACTCTCTCGAAGAAGCATCCGCGTAGTGCCGCCTCCTCCTTGTCGTTTAGGAATGTAACCATATGGGAGAGGATCACGTCGTTTGCTATAACGAGAAAAAATCTTTTAAATCATTCATTTATAACATTACATAACATCACGCCTTTTTATCGCCGAAGGGGTAGGCAGAGGTGCACATATCGGCACTTAATGCCACTGTACAAT